ATTGTTCGGGATTGGAAGTCTGAACAAGGAATTGAACCCAGGACCTGGCAAAGTCGAAGCGAGAATCGGACGACTAGACTAAGCGGACAACTGAATAGTAGAAACCCAGAAATTCCCAGAAACACCCTATCTGACGCAGATAGGCTGCTAGGCTTCGTGGCCACATCGCGCCACATCGCGCGCACCAACCCCGACCTCACCCAATATTTTGGTATTTCAACGACCTAATCCTTATTTCCATTTTGAAATAGCGAATTACGACCCAACGACCTATGAAATATTACAGTTCAGCCAGAAATATTCAGTCTCCATAGACACCACATCGATTTGTTTATGCTGCACTGTGTGATTTTGTCCACCATCACCTCTAGGTGGTTGACGGTTGGTAGGTAGGGACCGATCGAACGATCGCCAGGCATTCGATTATAACCGATTTTTGGCCCTGGGATCGCTTGTGACATGGCAGATCAGGGCAAGGCAGCTCCAGTGCCAAAAAAGGCAGTTCCACCTGTCCTTTGCAAGGCACTTTGCTGCTCTTCACTGGCAGCTGTTCAATGCCTCAGCCAGGTGGGGATGGCTCATCGTATGTCAGTTCTTGGACTGCGGTCCAAGAAGAGGCTGGACGACCCAACTCGCCCGCCCTTGGGCACTGCTTTCCGGGCCACTAAAGATGTATGAAAATGTCGGTATGTTTGTACTCCTCCTCATTTTCGCACTCAAGAGAGGGAAGGATGGGTAGTGAGACATCATTAAGAAACCTAGCACGCCATGCCAGTGCATCACAATAATATAAAATAAAAATAAAAAATCAACAATCATCACTTGAACCTGTCTTTCTCTTGATCAAACCAGGCGCCGCGCCCCCTTGCTTGTGGTCTCTCGGTAAAACAGTGTTCACGCTACCGCCGCAGAGATTGTCCAGTGACTGAGTGTGAGCGTTGCTCTGTGAGTGCATGTCGCGTGTTAAACTGTGCCACATCATGTTGCCATCGCTACTTGGACCACATGCTTGCGCCCAGCTGCCACACAAATCCCGCGCGCTCGCTTCTTTTTTGTTCACTTCCCCCCCGCGGACAGAGGGAGTCAGGCCCCATGAAAAGCTCACCAGCTCACCAGCCGTGTCAGATTGCAATGCCTCACTCAAAATGAACGGCTAAAAGCCGAACCTTTTTGCCACGGCCCTATGCCCATGCTCCTGAGCTTGAAACTGTATTGATAGGATCGAAAGAACACCAGTGTGCCCAAGAAAGGCCGTGCTGATCTTTCGTTCAGGCGCTATTGAAATAATCATTTTCTAGTGTTGCTGCCATTGGTGGACGGATGCGTTGTGAGGAGTAGATGAGTCTGAGTTTGTCTAGTCAACGCACTGACTTTGTTGCGTGCTGGCACTGGCGCTGGCGTCTTGGCTCTGCTGCCGTTGGCTGTGCTGCTTGGACAAAGCAGACACTGCCTCAGATGACCTTTTCGGTGCAGAGTTGCACTTATTCTTGCCAGGAAGGTTTCAATTCCTGAGCAGTTCGTTGTGATCGACTGAATGCGTTGACAATCCTAGACACGTTTTGAGGCCACCTTGCCATTCTCGTGATTTAGATGTTCCGCCAAGCCCAGACTTGGTGTTGGCCTGTACATTCCTCGTTACAGGCAAGACCTTGAGCCCTGATGTTCAGGAAACGGACAAGGTACCACCATATTTGATTGCCAAAGTCATGGGGGTCATGTTCGAGATGTGGGGTTCTTGTTTTTGGCTGTGTTTTTCTTTATTTTTTTCGTTCATTTGACGGCCTGAAAAAGTTCTGGGCAGGTGTTGGAAAATCAGACAAAAGGGAACGATTTAATGACGCATTCAACATGTTTATTTGGTGGGTTGGCTCTGTCCCCCACTGCTTGCAGAAAACATTTGTTGCATAAATAATCTGTTTTTTATTTTACACACTGCCAAAGTGTTATCTCCGTGCTTTGTTGTTTAGGAAATGGACCATGATGGCACCCAAAGTTTATCTTGGCGGGAAATCTCCTTGGTGGTCACGCATCACATGGAAGTGCTTTCGGATCTTGGAATCCGCACCTTGAACTGGACAGCGGTGCGCAAGTGGAGGAATGGTCGAAACGTTTTCGTGAAGACGCGGAGGGAAACAATTTTTGTTTTTATATTTAATATAGTATATGATTGAAACAACTTAATGATCAAACACTTGCAACGGTGACCTGTATTTGCAACGGTGACCTGACACAGAATTCAGTTTGAGTTGCACCAGGGGTTTTCGATGTTTTTGACACAACAAAAGCACCTGGGAACAAACAATTGACATTCAATTCCGATAATGAATCATGGACAGACATGTTCAGCCCTACTCAGACATGTTCAACCCGATTTTGAAGGGCGGGCAGGCAGTCTCCTTTTTGGGAATATTGTTGCGTTTTGACACATGTTCATGGGATAAGACTGATTGTCGCGATGTGAACGCTTCAGACTTGGTTTATTATGTTATTGAAAGTGTTTGAAGCATTGGAAAACTCAGAACATGCGCGAATTCTCAGGTATGCCGGAAGCGAAACGGATTTTCGGGGAGCTGAACATGAACTCGGCCGGCTACGTGTCCATACCGATGCAACCCTGCTGAAATCAAGGAGATGCGACGATTTGGTTTTCTTTTTGTTCTTGCCAGCAAAGAACGAAGCACTGAGTCACGATGAATTATATACAGTATATGTTGAACAATTTGCTGCCTGTTAGTTCCTCCTTGTTATGCACACACTAGACATATCGACCTTTGGTACAGTTGAACAGTGTTTCTTTGTTGCACAGTTCAAACATCGCGCAGATTTGCCGAAAGTCTCATGACATCGGGCTGCAAACCAGCTGACGTCAGGTTTCTCAATCGAGTGCAAGATAATATGCGTTACAAGACAGTGGAGACGCTGATCTTCGAGAACCAGCAATACAGGTCGATGAGAGACAGGGGTGAAAACTGTTGGTATTTCCTCTAGAAAATGGGTTTAACGACCCGGTTGTGCTAATACAAAGGGGTGTCATGGGCTGTCATGGGTGTATTGATATAGGGTGACAGCTCAGTTTTCCAGGAACGACGAGGGAGAAACTATTGAATGAGAGCTGTCCCTAGTTAAATACACACTCACGTTGATGCTTATTTAGGCCAATTGTACCACGGACAGCAAGATTCAATCTGTCCCAAGTGCGTGGGTTGTTTGGTGATATGACTCGAGGATTTAGCTCAATGAATCAGCTGTGGCGGGGGGTGGAGAACTTGGTTCTTTTGGAGAACTTGGGCGCCCTCTCCGTCAGAGGCTTCTGCATCTGATGGGGAAGCTGGCCAAGCTTGACAAGAAGAGCTCCAAGAAGGTGTGCCCATGGCTGGGACTGGGACTAATGACTAGAGGCACTCCGGGACCAACCTTCAAAGCAGGCTCAATTGATCATACACGTAATTATTGTCTCCCAATGTCTCTGTGTGTGTGGGTGTCTTTGTTTTTGTGGGGAATATACAAGCGAAAGGCATCAAAAAGCAGCCATGAACTCCAGAAAGAAGTCCTTACACTCTTTACATCAAGTCTAGACTCTATAGCCTTCGAATCAAGGAACTCGACCACGATCACCGCCATTTCCGTCCGATCGTCGAAACCGACCGATCGACTGATATTGACGCTTCGACGCCGGTGAAACGATTCCCAGTGAAAAGATTCCCAAGGACGCTTCTAGTTATATACTCGTAGCTTCTTGTTCCTAGTAGTAAGGGGTTACTAAGAAGCTTGAAAGACATACTAGTAGCGTCCTTGCTCCTAGTAGCGATGCTCTCCAACCTACTTGCGATGGCCTACGCCGAGCAGAGCGTCCTTGTTACTAGTAGAATTCTTCTTACTAGTAGTAAGGCCAGGAGTCCCTGCTCCTAGTAGTGATGCCAAGAGGCCCTAGTGGCGTCCTTGCTCCTAGTAGCGATGCCAGGAGCCCCTAGCAGCGATGCCAGGAGCCCCTAGTAGCGTCCTTGCTCCTAGTAGCGATGCTAGGAGCCCCTAGTAGCGTCCTTGCTCCTAGTAGCGATGCCAGGAGCCCC